TACATACTGATTGGAGTAGACAAATACTGGGAATTTGTTGGTGATCACATCATACAAGGTTGTAGTCCAGTTACCGTATCATCTGCTTTCGGATACTTGCGCTTGGGTCCTATAAACACCGGGAAACGCCGTTCATGCAATATACAGACATTCCATGTTTCAACACTGAAATCTCCAGATGAACAACTCGATACAATGATTGCTTCTTTTTGGGATTTAGAAACAATCGGAGTGAAGGATACACTCACACGTAATGATACTAAATCCATGTCACACAATGAACAATATCGAAATTATACTGATCATTGTCTTACCGAACATGACGGTCGTTTCACCGCAAAACTTCCATGGAAGACTAACCACGCAACCCTTCCAACCAACTTTGATTCTGCTCAAGTATGTACCCGTAATATGGTCGCTAAATTGCCATCTAAACTTGTTACCGTCTACGATAATATTATACGCGAACAAATCGAGAAAGGGTACATTGAAGAAGTAACGCAAGATAATTCTGAAGTAGGACATTATTTACCCCATCGTTCTGTAAAGAAAGACAGTAAAACCACGCCAATACGAGTAGTGTATGACTGCTCAGCGACCCCAGGTAAGGGTCAACCAAGTTTGAATCAATGTCTGGACACGGGTCCCCCCATGCTAAACTCATTAACGTCAATTCTACTCCGATTCAGGGCAAATCCAATCGCGCTTACAGCAGACATCGAAAAGGCATTCTTGCAAATCAAACTCGATGAAAGGGAACGAAAGTTTACCAAATTTCTTTGGTTGTCGAACGCTGACAATATTAACAGTAGTTTCAAAACTTACCAGTTCGCATCCCTGTTATTCGGAGCAACTTGTTCACCTTTTATACTCAACGCTGCGATAAGAAACCTAACAGATAGTCACATTCATAAACCGGTAGCACGTGACATACATGTACAACAAAATATCTATGTCGACGATGTTGTTTCAGGATGCAGTAATACTACTGAAGCAATCAATTTCTATGAACAATCGACCTCCATATTTGCAACACGCAAATTTAATCTACACTTGTGGAATACGAACGATACTTTCTTGCACACTGTCATGAACAACAACGGCCGATCCAACATGAATACAAATATTAGTGTACTTGGGCTCCGATGGAACTCAGATGACGACACGCTAAGAGTAAAACCACCCAAAGTGCCCAATTTTGGCTCCTATACTACGAAGCGCGACATTGTCGGATACTCGGCGAGCCTGTACGACCCGTTAGGACTGTTCTCTTCGATACAAATAAGAGCGAAATTGCTAATACAAACTCTTTGGTTGTCCAATCACAATTGGGACATGCCCATAACCAAAGAATTATGACAAAATTGGACGCAAATTGCACACGATCTCCATGAAGTTACTGACAGTGATATTTCTAGACGATATTTCAAAAACAATCCTACAAGTGTTGAAATACAGACGCCTCTAAAAGGGCATATGATGGTGTGATATATCTAGCTACGGACACTGAATCTGCAATTATCATGGCTAAGACTCGTGTATCGCCAATCAATAAACAAGCCCTGACACTGCCACGCCTGGAAATAATGGGTGCAGTGATAGCCACCCGTCTCAGTCAATTTGTATCTCAATCTCTCGAAAGCAAATATAACATTATTCGTCACAATCTTTGGTCTGATAGCCAAATCGTGCTTCAGTGGTTGAATGGCCATGGAACTCAAGATACATTCACACGAAACCGCGTCACAGAGATCAACTCTTTCAAACAGGATTTACGCTATGTTCCAACGACTCAGAACCCCGCCGATCTCTTAACTAGAGGGATTACTCCTAAAGAATTGTCAACGTCTCAACTCTGGTGGCATGGGCCACCATGGCTAAGCTCACACGAACCTTGGCCAAAATGCGATCTATTTAAGACAAGTGAAGTCTCTGCAAATACTGTCAATCATGTTGCTACTGAAATCACTTCTACATCGCATCAATCCCCAATCCGTGAGAATTCAAATTCATCAATTAATGTGTGTGAAACTACGGAAACAACCCATGGCATCGACAAACTCTTAGATATAACATCATTCCGGGATCTACAGCATTTACTACGTGTAACATCCTACATTATGCGATTTGTCCGAAAGTCGCATAACAGAAACGCCATCTTTAAATAATTTGGCCTATGATGTTGATCAACAAATACTCCCTTTAGCAACCAAAATGATTGATTCTGAAACTCTATGGATACGAACAGTACAATGATCTCATTACTCGGATACTATTAACGGACTCATCCGAAATAATTCTAAACTAGGATCAATAAACCGCCAACTAAAATTATTTATCGACAGTCAACAAATACTCAGGACAGACGGAAGACTTCAAAATACTGAATTGCCCTATGATACGATACACCCAATAATATTACCCGGAAAAGATCACTTCACCACACTTGTTATCCGCGATGCCCATGTGCGGTTACAACACAGCGGCGCTCTCGCTACAATTACCAGTCTACGCGAACGATACTGGATAACATCCATTCGATGTTTCGTAAACACAGTTCTAAATAAGTGTAAGTGTGTGGTATGTAAGAAGGTGGATGGCCCTCCGTATTCACGACCGATTCCAGCACCGCTTCCAGAATTCTGTGTGAAGCGAGCAAATCCCTTTTCTGTCTGTA